TCTTCAATGCTTTTGTTCTTGTCTTTGATGCTTCAATGCCTGATAACTTACTAGTGTCTCTTTTAGTGAGTGGGTTGAAGCATTTTCCTCTAGCAATGGCATAATGTATTACTGTTACCTCTAAATAAAGAAGAGAAAGAAATGTCAAATATGAACCATTTGAATATATCATCAAAAGCAGCGATTTTCAACCGGTGTGCCACAAAAATGTTTAAATGTGTAATACCTGATTATTTAGTCAGGGGCGCTGACCTCTTTTCCCTTAGATTGTCAAATAAAAAAATGACAACAGCCATCAGAACAATAGCCGCCCTGTACAAACGAATCAAAATTATACCTTTTTTTTGGTCAGATCGGCAAAAAATATAACATGTTTTTTTGGTGTGCCACAGAATTTTAGCAATTAGTGTATGCATGCCATGAGATGAAAAAGTTTGAAAGTTGCTGACCTAAAGCATTAAAAATTTAGGTGTCTACCCTTAAAGATATATGTTAGGGATGATAAAAGTGGAAGTAAGGAAAATAAGGAAATGGAGTTGTGCCATATGGGATCAATGTTTACTTGATGGTGTAGCCTCCGGGATGTGTTAGCCAAGATTTTTAGACTTGGGTCAACATTAGAGACCTCATCATGCCCAAGAGCCAGGCCTCGCCTTTCTAGTAACGTCACCTCAGATGTGGTCTCTGTTTTGCCAGGACTTGCCAAAGTGCCCCTTGCAGCAGAGTGCCCCTCACATTGGGAACAGGACTCAATGCAAGCTGACCCCTGTCCTTTGTCAAATAAAATCTGACAGTGGCTGCTTTTCAGAGCAGCAGGTCAGAGTTTCATTGTGGAAATGAATAGGGAGAGAAAACAGACTTCAAAAACATGTGTGCTTTCAAGCACTAAGCTATCATAGCTCTAATAAGAATTTCTTAACAAAGTCTGACTATGCTAGGTCATTCATAAAATTGAAAAGCTTGTAAGTTTTGGCCCCCAGAGAGTAGTGTAAGCTAGAAGGGTATATCTGCATGTCTCAGGCAGATGTCATCATTTGAAGTATTTAGCAACTAGTACAGCAAAGAACTCTGACCAATAAGAAAATAACCTCAGGCTCAGCCAGTGTAGCTCAGTGGTTGAGCATTAACCTATGAACCAGGAGGTCACGGTTTGATTCCAGGTCAGTGCACATGCCTGGGTTGTGGGCTCAATCCCCAGTGTGGAGCATGCAGGAGGCAGCCGATCAATGATTCTCTCTCATCATTGTTGTTTCTATCTCTCTCCCTCTCCCTTCCTCTCTGAAATCAATAAAATATATTTAAAAAAAAAAAGAAAAAGAAAAAGAAGAGAACATCAGATGTTTCTCTAGTGTTCTCACAGGGCTCTGGATGCCCCCAGCTCTGCCAGGTGTTAACCTTTAAATTGCTGGGTTGGGGATAGGATGCCAGGGATTCCTTGGGAAGAGACTGGAGTGCTGGCACATTGAAGAGACGCTGGAGGAGGGACTATTTACTTTAGAGTCGTGGTTATTTACCAATTGGAATGGAAGTATCAGTATTTTAATAAGCAGCATTGTTATTCTGGTACATACCAACTTAATCTGAGATCTGTCCTTAGCGGAACCAGGCAAATTTATGTTATTTTCTCTGAATGGTTCTTGCCAAATTTCAGGATCCCTGATCTCATTCTAACATAAAGCTGTGTTGAAAACAATAGATGTAATTCATCAGTAATTTTACTTTATCACAGCAAATAATCACAAGTGAATGGGATCATAGTGCTCAGTAATACATGCTTCAGGGAGCATGGATCCTTCTAAGTTTTGTTGCTATTCTCCCCTGGGAGTAATATCTTAACCTCAGCTCCTAATATGTCAGCACAGACTCTGATGTTCCCCTGGCATCCAGGAAGAGGTCTCACTAAATTCATCAAGTCACCAAATATTTACTGACTGCCTACAACTGGAAACAAGGTAACTTAGAATTTTAGGGAACCCTGACTCAAAGGTTCAGCTCCTATGATTTAGTCATTGGAAAATAAATACTTAGCACCAGTAATATTAGGAGCCATTAGTATTGGAGCCGAGAGACTCGGGAAATAGATGGCATGGACCGGCCTTGCTTTTCTCTGGACATATATGCCAAAGGATGTTGGGCAAAATGTTTGTGAGCGCTGACATGCAACTGTGATGGTTTCCCTAAACTTTAGGGGATGTAAATATCTTTGATGCATTGGTTTGTAGGATTTTAATGGTCTATATGGAATATATATATATATATATATATATAGATATATATAGAGTTTTTAAAAATTTTTTTTATTGATTTCAGAGAGGAAGAGAGAGGGAGAGAGAGATAGAAACAATAATGATGAGAGAGAATCATCAATCATCTGCCTCCTGCACGCCCCACACTGGGGGTCGAGTCCACAACCCAGGCATGTGCCCTGACCGGGAATCAAACCAGGACCTCTTGGTTCATAGGTCAATGTGCAAACACTGAGCCACGCTGGTCAGGCTCCTTTTGAGTGTTTTTGATCTTTATTGGCTGAGCAGCTGATGCCTTTGTGTAAACTACAAAGTGGTGCCCTAACATGTGATGGTCCATTAGCTGGACCGTTTGTGTGGCCACACTCTGCTCTTACAGTGCAGTAGGCTTTGCCTACTGTTTCCGAGTCTCCATGCTTTCCCAGAGTTGGCAGCTTGGTAGTGTCTCTCAGGCATGTGGCAAACCTGCTTTCTTGGTTGTCCATGGCCCTGAAGGATTGGAGGTGCATTGAACTATGCTTGATTCCAGGGGAGTCTTTTGGGCACTTGGGAGTTCTAGGAAGATCCCTTTGGGGAGTGGCCAGACATTCTGTGTTCTTCTCCAGCTCTGCTGCCCATGTCTGTGTGACCTTTGTTAGGTCACATCCTCTTCAGGACATAATTTCTTTATGAGAAATTGATGGTTAGGGGATTCTGACCCAAGCAATCAGTGTCCCCTGGTGTTCCTTCCAAATAGCAGTGATGGTCTGAGCTTCTCCATATTTACAAATCTTAGTAAAGATCAGACAATGGTCTATCAGTGGTTCTCAACCTTCTGGCCCTTTGAATACAGTTCCTCATGCTGTGACCCAACCATAAAATTATTTTTGTTGCTACTTAATAACTGTAATGTTGCTACTGTTATGAATCATAATGTAAATATCTGATCTGCAGGATGGTCTTAGGCGACCCCAGTGAAAGGGTCATTCAACCGCCAAAGGGGTCGCGACCCACAGGTTGAGAACCGCTGGCATATATTTTATTACTCAATAAGATGTGGGCTGTTGGACAACATTTTGCAGCCATGAGTCCTTCTGAGAGAAATTATCAAAGCAACACTTGGAGCGAACAGATTAGTGATACATAGACAATATAATCTGCAGCGCAGGTCTTCATTATCTGGCCTATGATCTGAAGAACAGGGATAAGAAACACCATAAAAGGCACAGAAAAAGTAACATGTATTGAAAACAAAATCCATTTTATTATTATTTGAACTTAGCATTTTACCACCAAATGATAATGCAGCTACTTAAATATCAAAATGTGGTCCGGGACCAGCAACACCAGCATCACTGGCGCTGGTTCCAAAGGCAGGTACTTGAGCCCCATTTCAGACCTACTGAATCAGAATCGCTGGGGGCAGGATTTACAATCTGTGTTTTTGCAAACACTCCGGGTGGATTGTCCTATAAAGTTTGAGAAGCATGGAGACTTTATAACCTCTTAAAATTTCTTTATAAGCAGCAGATCACTTGATTCTCATCATCACCCTCTGTGTCACTTGCACAACTACTTTTATTCTCATTTTATCTGTGGTGGGCACACAGAGGAGTTGAATGACTCAGGGTTATATAGTCAGTTTTATATGTTTATTATTTGTCTCTTGGCATGTTTGGTATATGACATATAAACATTATGTCAGTTTCTCCTCCATTAAAGTTGACCCCAATTTTACTACCTATTTTTGGAGTAAGGGTTATTACCTATGTTCTTTCAAGTTCTCTGAGATAAGTAGAGTAATCTATCTAATGTTTCATTTATTTGCTCATTTTTTTTTTTGATATCTTGCTCAAAGGGATGTGAGGAAACTGTTTCTACTTGGGGTGTCTAGTATATGTATTTTATAAAGTTTTAAAAGGCAACATAAATGGTAGAGTATACCTTTAACAAAATACTTAAAGATAAATTTTAAAAAGTTTAAAATTTAAATATATTATGATATATATATATATATATATATATATATAGAGAGAGAGAGAGAGAGAGAGAGAGAGAGAGAGGGGGGGGAATATCTATCTATCTATCTATCTATCTATCTATCTATCTATCATCTATCTAACTGACTATTTAAGGAATTGCCTCATATACTTGTGAATGCTGGCAAGTCCAAAATCTTTAAGGTAAGCTGGCAGGATTCAGATTCAGAGACAAGTTGATGTTGCAATTTGAGTTTGAAGAAAGACTGCTGACAGAATTCCCTCTTCCAAGGGGAAGGTCAGTCCTTTCCTTAAGGCCTTCGACTGATTAGATGAGACCCGTCCACACATGGAGAGTAATTTGCCTTACTCAAAGTATGCTGGTTTAAATGTGAATCTCATCTAAAAAAATAACTTCACAGCAACATCCAGACATTCTTAAGCCAATATCTGGATACCATGGCCTAGCCAAGTTGACACCGAATTAATGATCACAAAAATATTATCTTTAACGGAGTATACATTTCATTTTAAATATGAACTATATTATAGCCAACCCCCTAAGGTTAGATGTCAGATTTTTCCCAACCTTTTTATCTTACATTTGGCACACCTTTGACTAAATGACTCATTTTTGTCTTTAAGTGTGGGAAAAAATGAATATTTCTAAATTTTAAAAGATTTTACTTCTTTTTGCCAAATTGCCCTTGTAGATTCTTTACCCTTTAAACTACAACTGAAGTATTCGGAGTGGGAAAATACCAGGCTTGCCTTGATCTTCTCCTTTCTTTCTCAGCCTGCAGGTCCCTGGGGACCGGCATGATGCTGAGTTCCTGGGCCACCTCCTCCATTGAAGAGGTGGCAGAGGCCGGTGGCGAGGCGCTTCGCTGGCTGCAGCTGTACATCTACAAGGACCGTGAAGTCACCAAGCAGCTCGTGCGGCGGGCCGAGCGGATGGGCTACAAGGCCATATTTGTGACAGTGGACACCCCTTATCTGGGCAACCGCTTTGACGACGTGCGAAACAGGTTCAAGCTGCCACCACAACTCAGGTAACCATCAGTCTCTGGTCTCCTAGGCCCCTGAGATATTCATCTAATTCTCTTTGCTCTTGTCATGAGCCAGTTCCAAAAGTTTTCTCTAGTTTCCAAGTGAGTGGCTTAGGGAATTGGTTCTTCATAGAATGTTGCACCATGAGTATGGTTGAAAGGGATCTTGTCTAGGGCTGATAGGGTCTGGATTCTAGAGGTAGTGTCCTTGCCAAATATCCCCATAATTTCCAGCAGATCACGCCCATTTAGTGGGTGTCACATGCTTGAGCTATAAAAGAGGGATAGAAATTGCCCATATACTTATAAAAGTCAAATACAGTTATGTATCAGAGTACATTAAGGGCTTGGAGAAGTATGAATTGCCATATAGATAGAAGATACTTAATATAGCCCAGGATACAATTTTATTGTGATCCCAATATCCTAGGTCTTGTTGAAATCACAGAGCCACCTAGTGACTTTCATTTCTCATTGTATCTGGGCTAGGAAGATTGAAGAAAACTTAAAGAGTGGAGACAAAAGGAGGCACATGCTTGACCCCTCATCAACTCCTTCTTTTGAGCAATAGCCCTCTTTTTAAATTTATTTATTGATTTGAATGAGAGAGAGAGATTAATTGTTGTTCCACCCATTTATGCATTCATTGGCTGACTCTTGTAGATGCCTTGACTGGGGACTGAACCTGCAACCTTGGTGTATCGGGACGAGGCTCTAACCAACTGAGCCTACCTGGCCAGGGCTGCAATATCCCTACATAATCATAGGTGAACATTAATTCATATAGTCCCAGGTTCATTCTTTAATCCACTCACTCATATTAGCATAAACAATGTGTCTAGTATTCTGTGGCTGAACAATGATGTTTTCATTAGGTCAGTCCGCTTGTGCAGTAGCAGGGAATTGTCCTTTTTCCTGTAATAATTTAGAATTAGGATAATCTTTAGTAAAGCTGGGACTTCAGTGGAGTTTACTAAGAAAGACCCCAACCTCCCTAAATTACAGACCTCTTTTCCCTTTTATTCTATCCTTCCCCAGTTCCCACCAAAATCTGCTCTAAGGATTGTTCATAGCAATGTGTGAATGACAACCTTCAGGGCTAAACACATTTGAACAGGAATCAACATATTAGTTGTAATGGAAGACATTTTGATGATGGGATTTCACAGCCTCCATGGGAGAAGTGGAAACAACGAGGGATGCCTTCTTTGGATCCTAGACCTCATTTACATGGGGTGTTGCTTACTCTGGCTACATGTAACGTTAACCCTTCTAAAATCTGGAAGATTCAAAATCAAATCAGCATTCCATAGAAGGTCGCAAAGACTGTTGGAAGCCAGGAATTCCACATATGTTATAGAATAGGATGTATCGCAACGAGAGAGAGAGAGAGAGAGAGAGAGGGAGAGAGAGAGGGAGAGAGAGAGAGTCCTTATACAGTCCTGGGTGTCACACAACTGTCCTATAGCTCTGCTGAGTACGTATCTAACTGAGTATAAACTTTGTGCATCAAATCTTGCTGCTGAGACCTATGTAAAGTAGCTGTGCGATGTTCTCAACCTCCAGCGGGTTTAGGATATTATTTCTGCATGTGGTACCTTCAGTGGCCAATGACAGAAGGAGAAAGTGCTCTCCCATCAGACATGCCTCCTGTTTCCCAGACCAGGGTTACCCAGAAACCCTGTCTTTCTAAGAAAATAAAAGTAAAAGGCCCCTGACATATTCCTACGTTTTGCCAAATTCATCAGAAAGTAGATGGCTTCAAATTTCCCTACGATGAGATCTGTATTCACATTATTTCTCTGTTTTGATTACCTTATTTTTTTAGGCTTTCTAAAATTAGTATGTCACTCAAGGCTTCTTACAGGAAATATTCCTCATTATTTTCCTTTTGCCATTTCTAAAGGAGTTTGCTATTTTTCCCTCCTCCTGTTAATATGACTAACAACAACGACAACAATAATAACAACAGCAGTAGGGTTATTTCTGCAGCTTCGAAAGCACTTTCTCGCTCTGGGTGACAAAAGGTGTTCACAGTGGCAGGTACTTAGACGTGGGTGATGACGCAGTTTCTGCTTCTGGCTGCTATGTCTTGTTCCTTCGGTGCCACACCACTCAGTCAGGAGTGGGATTTGCTTTCCCCCTTTTCCTTTGCTCCCGGGCTCCCACCCAGATGACCCATCAGACCATGAGACAGAGGCCCTTTTCAGCTGTCCATGTGCACAGGAGTGGCTTGTCACACCTCCCATCTACAGATGATCAAATAGTGAGCAATACGCCCAGATCACTGAGAACGCAGGAAACACCCCAGGGCTGGTGCCGCACCCCCAGAGCGCCCTCTGGCCTTGCTGGTCCTGGTGGACTGCAGGCGGGCCAGCTCCTCTGGTTGGCTTCCCCGCGGCCCACACTCAGCAGTCGAAGGCAGAGCCCACTAATGGGAGGCCCAGGCTTCCGCCAGAGGCCACATACAACCGAAAAGCTCCTCTGTTCCAGCCTGATATGAAATCAGGTTTCTTTCCGCAGCTGACCTGACTCATAGAAGGTGAAGCCTGGCTTTGCAGAGTGAGGTTTGGCAGGCGAGGGAGGCAGGAAATCCAGAGGAGAATGAGTCTGTAAAGCAGTGGCTCCTTCCAGCCCTTGCTACTTCCTCTGCCGTGGTGGGGGAGGGTTCTGACTCTTGGCATCTGGGACCAGCCAGAGTTCAGGAGTTTGGTAATCTCTGCTTGGTTTATATGCAAAACACATGCATGTGTGTACATTCTGCATGGCACAGAGGTTCCTGAAAGTGAGGGGCGGTTAGGAGAATACTCATCTGCTCTTGGAAGAACCCAGGAATGATGCCAGTTCCCTAGGCTGGTGCCAGAGGCTCTGAGGCAGGGCCTTTTCTGTCTCTACACCCCAGGGGACAGTTCATTTTTTCTGGGTAAAGATCTGGCTCTTTGGTGTAACGCCAGGGCAGATGAAAGAGAAGAAAAGGAACTTCCAATCATTGACTATGTTCAAGATAAATCATGACACCTACCCTTCCGGTGATTTGCCTGGGGACATGCTTCCTTAAGCCCCAGCATGATTTATTGATTATAGCAACCAGAATAGCTCACACACACAAAAGGATCAGACTGCCATTGTCTTTCCAGGTCTCTCACCATAAAAGTAGCCTACGAGGCCAACATGAGCAGGCCCCCCATTGCTTCCTGGACCTCATCTCCTAACATCCTCATCCCTACTCACTGAGCCACATTGGCAACCCTACTCTTCCTTCAACACACCAGGCGTGCTAGTGCCTTAGGGCCTCAGAATTGATTCTTCCCTCTGCCTGTGATAGCCTTCCCCCAAATCAACGCACTACTCACTTCTTTACTTTTCCTATGTTTTTATATCAGGGAGGGGTCTACATGTCTTTATATTGGGAAAGCAAAATAAAAATAAACAGTAGAGATCAGAATAGAGACACAGTATGTGTGGGGATCTTGGAGAGGATTTGAGGAAGAGAAATATTTGTGAAGGTGGACTAGGTATATGGCTCAATAGCCTCCGAATTCTTTGGTTAGAAAAACATTCACAATATAACTGTGTTACACAGAATGAGGACCTCCCAAAGATGTCCATGTCCTAATCCTTGGAACCTGTGAAGATGTTATTTACATGGCAAAATGGACTCTGAGGTGGGAAGATTATCCTGAGTTCTCTCACAGACTTAATGCAGCTAAGGGGTCTTCATGAGAGGGAGGCAGGAGTGTCCGAGTCAGAGAAGGCGAGGTGATGATGGAAGCAGAGGTTGGAGTGATGTCATCTGGAGTCAGGGAACATAGGTGGTCTCTAGAAGCTGGAACAGGCAAGGAAAGGGATTCTCCCTCAGAGCCGCTGGAAGGAGAACGGCCCTATCCACACCTTGAGTGGAGTCTAGTGGGAATCATTCTGGACGTCTGGCCTCCACACCTGTAATATAATAAGTTTGTGTCATTTTAAAGCCTCTAGGTTTGTGATCTTTTGGTATAGCAGCAACAAGTAGCATACCCAATAACACCGATCTGCTCATTTCCTCTACAAGGTAGCTTCTCAATGAGGCTAAATTTGATTACCATATTTTATTTTCAAGTCAACTGTCTACCAGCTCACTTACCTCTTATTTTGAAGTACTTTTTAAAATGTATTTATTCATTTATTTAAATCTTCAGGAGAGATATTTTTAAATTGAGTTTTAGGAGGGGGAGAAATTGAGAAAGAGAGAGAGAGAGAGAGAGGAAGAGAGAGAGAGAGACATTGATCAGTTGCACACCCTGACAGGAGATCGAACCCATAACCTTTTAGTGTACGAGACAATGCTCCAACTCTCCAACGGAGCCGCCCTGCTAGGGCCTTTTCATTTATTTTTTTATAGCACTTATAATCTAACTTGCTCCATAAATTACTTATTGATTATATTTATTTTTTTATTTTCTGTCTCTTCTTGCTAGAATATCAACTCAATGTGGCCAGGGATTTTTGACTGTTTTATTTATTGGTCTACCCTAAACATCTAAAACACTAGCACACAGTAGGTGCTCAATAAGTAATGCCGAATCAATAAATAGAACTGTATTCGATCATGTGAGATTTACCCAATAAAACAAGACTAATAAGAAGTTGAGCAAAGGTTTGCACTCAAACTTAAAACCCATTCCTTCAAACTTTCTTTTAACTGCCCAGCCACATTGAGGAAGAGATTATCAGGGCTATATTCTCAATATAGTGTTTCCCTAACCACAGAATTAAAGGCTAGGGGTCCATGTACCAATTCCTGTATGTATTATGAATCTCTGTCTCTCTCATATTGAGTTGATATCATAGGCTCTACTGATGGTTATTTTTTATTTTATTTCCCACTATGGAGACATGTAGCTTTATCTTTAATGGCATATTATCAATAACTATAATAAAATAATATCACATATTTCTCCACAATATTTATTGCTGGTGTTACCATTGGTGATTTAATAATGTTTAACTTTCTTTTAGTAGTTGTTACTGTTTTTATGATGCTAACTTATTAAAAGCTAAAATAATTTCAATATTAGATTAAAAAGTATATTTGAGGAACATTCAAGGCACAACGAGTTCCTTACAAAGAAGAAATTCTATCCCTTGCCTTTGGGTCATTAAATAGATTGGGATTCGAGAATTAAGTCATAAGTAATCATGTTATTATTTGGATGTTGCCCCCTTCCTTCCTTACGAAATGGAATACTTTGGTTATCAGAAGCCGCTTTAAGTGTTTCTTGTGTATATGTCATAATTCAAATAAAAATAGCATTCACGGAGGTTTTCTTCAGAGCCATTGGTAAAACACTCCATCGCGGGTCCCTGTCAAGATATCTGAAAACTTTTTCTTGGCTTCTGGCTTTGAACAACGTTTGAGAGTAACAACAAGGCTTCATTGTGCACTGAAATTTCTGTAAGGCAACATTCATTCAAGTGTTGACCTGCATTGCACCGTCCAAGAATAACAACAGTTATTTATATAATTTTATCCATGTTTCTGTTTTTTCCTATCCATTTCACCCTTTCACCCCGCCTCTGCTGAAACACTGTAGCCTGTTTGGGAGGGGTGTGGGTGCTGTGCAGAGTATATACACATACAGATGTTTTTCTTTTTTTCCCCCTTTGGTCTTGCTATGGGAGTGACAGACCAGACCTTTCACTTATTACCAATGTTACTTAAAAGTTTGGGATTTAATATCATTTAATATCATTTCTAAGTAATGGAATAGCTCTCCATAATACGGATATATTTCTTGACCAGAAGGTTGGCTTAATTCAAGTTAGAACGACAATGGAAGACCAAAGTCTGTGATAAAATGTACGACCTTTAGTGGTTTGATTACAAAAGAGATGTCTGAGTATTAAAATCCATACCAAGGCTCAACAAATAGATGGATACCAGTCTGACTCTCATGGAGCTAGAATTTTCAGTGGCCTCCTAAGCCCATGAAACTATAGAGCTTACTGTTTAATACTTATCGTGAAGACTTTGCCAATGGCTTGAGTAGAGTTATGTGGGATGTGAATGTTCATATTCTTTGATAATATATGCCACCCAAGCTACTCAACCAGTTATTTTAGCTGAAAGTACACTAAAATGTAAAAAGCACTAAGCTTAGTTTTATATTAAAGGAAATCTTATGATCCTCTTAAAAATAATTTTAAAATAGTGTGCCTATGTAATTCTAGGTTTATAGAAAATTGTTATAGTTATGGCCCCAAGATCCTTTCTATATTCAATGGCAGAGCTAGCGCAAGGGAAGAAAGAGTTATGACTAAGTCAGAGGTCAATGCACAGCTATATTTTTACCCAAAGAAAAGCTTGGCTAGCAGGGTCGTGTGCTCAATCTCCAGTGGGGGGCTTGCAGGAAGCAGCCATCAATGATTCTCTCTCTCTCCCTTTCCCTTCCTCTCTGAAATCAATAAAACTATATTTTAAAAAAGGAAAATATGATTGCAACCAACCTATAGATGAGCGATTTTCAACCAGTGGGCAATTTTTAAAACATGAAATACCTGACTATTTATTTAGTCAGAGGCACTGACCATTTTTCTCTTAGATTGTCAAATTAAAAAAAATGACAACAGCCAACACAACAATAGCTGTTCAGTGTGAATGAATCAAAATTACACCAATTTTCTTTTGTCAGATCAATAAAAATATATTGCTTGGTGTGCCACAGAATGTCAGTAATTAGCTTATGTGTGCCACGAAATGAAAAAGGTTGAAAATCACTGCTCTGGATGGTTGAGGAGTGAACAAGCAATGGGTGTGAAAGGGTAACTTTTCTTTTTCTTTTGAGTGAGTCATTGTAAAGATATCTTTGAGGAGTTTCTCACTTTTATATCTCTTTATTTCAGGATGAAAAATTTTGAAAGCAATGATTTAGCATTTTCTCCAAAGGAAAACTTTGGCGACAACAGTGGACTTGCTGCATACGTGGCAAAAGCTATAGACCCATCCATCAGCTGGGAGGACATTAAATGGCTGAGGGGGCTGACATCGCTGCCAATTGTTGCCAAAGGAATTTTGAGAGGTGTGTTTATTTCTCTACTTGACGTCACACTGATTTTATGATCCTTTGTGGATATGATCATGACATTTTTAAGGGAAAATAATCAGGAAAAATTAACATGGGCAACAAAAGAGATATTCCATCTCTCAATTCTCCCTTTTGATGTTAGTGAGTAAATAAGGTCCAAAATCTTAGGTAATGCACTAAAAGAGAGCAGGACTCCCATGAAGCAAGAAGTTAGCCATTTTAAAGCATTAGGATACTGTTGCCTTTTTTTTTTTTTTTTTGGAGCTGTCATCAAGTCATGGAGCTTGACAAGCTCTAGATAGAAGGTCTTGCTTTGGCTGTAAGCTGCAACAGTTGCTCTTAGGCCAATGAGAAGCTCCAAGGAGGACATTTAAAATCATTTTATATATATATATATATATAATATATATAAATATATATAATATATATAATATATATAATATAATATATATATAATTTTTTTTTTTTAATTTCACAGAGGAAGCAAGAGGGAGAGATAGGAACACCAATGATGAGAATCACTGAAAGCTGCCTCCTGCATGCCCCCTACTGGACATGTGCCCTGACAGGGAATTGAACCATGACCTCCTGGTTCATAGGTCCATGCTCAACCACTGAGTACACTGGCTGGGCCCCAAGGATGATATTCTAATAACCAGACCTGTTTTAAGAGCCTCTTAATATTTTTCTCTTGTTCTTCCAAGTAACAATGACAAGAACTGATTTCAGAGAGTGGTGAATCCCATGTCATCTCCCTATAAAGAATGATTGACTAAACCTGGCTGGTGTGGCTCAGTGGTTGAGTGTTGACCCAGAAACCAAGAGGTCACCAGTTCGATTCCTGGTCAGGGCACATGCCCTGGTTGTGGGCTCGATCCCCAGTAAGGGGCGTGCAGGAGACAGCCAATCAATGACTCTCTCTCATCATTGATGTTTCTATCTCTCTCTCCCTCTCCCTTCCTCTCTGAAATAAAAAATATATATATTTAAAAAAAAAACAAAACAGGAATGATTGACTAAGATAGTAAAATCCTTAATTATCAAGCCTTGAGTATTAAGGAAGTTGACTACTTCCCCTGTATCCACATGTATTCAATCCCACAGGGAGATACATTGACTGTAATAATTTGGAGTGTAAATGTGTTCACCCGCAAAAATGTTTTCTTGCCTTTGAAAACATTTCTTTCAATATGGCTAAATAGATAACTGACAAAAACATATTATTTTAAAAGGAAATGTTTAAGGAAGTGGCTCTGGGATGAGAGATTCTATTAACTTACCTCAGGCTTAACAATGACTTAGAATCAAAACCTTTTTACAGGTTTTATTTGAATAAGTGTGAGTCACATGGCCCCTATTTATAAATCTCCAGGCACACCACTGACTTTATCTTTTTAATCTTAAGTATGCAGAAATGAAGCTAATAGAAGTAAAAGAATGGGCCTAATGAAACTTTCAAAGAGGGAATATGTTTAAATCCAGATCTGTCTTAATCTGTGCTTTAAAAAACATTGTTATACTCTTTCCTGTTGATCATTGTTCTAGTTCAGTTTCTGAGAATTAAACTTCAGTGAGTTTATCCTGGTGTTACCGACACTTTTAAACAAGCTTCACTTACTTACTCCCATTCATATTGTCATCCACGATTATTAATGCTACTTCCTGTAACTACATTCAAGTCTAGGTCCTAAGAACATTACCCTGAAGGTTCTGCCTCATTCATTCATTCATTCATTCATCCATTCATTTATTTATTCATTTAGTCATTCATTACATAAGTATTTATTATGCTAAAATTAAAAAAAATAATAATCATCTGAGGTCCTTGACCCTATTCTTGTAGGAGAGACAGAATTTTGGTGCAATAAGAAGTGCAGAGGTAGAAATCTATTCAGTATAAGCTTGAGTTTAAAATACAGTGTAAACAACTATAAGAGTGGGCTAAGGAAGGTTTCATTTCAGAATGAAAGATGATGCTTGAGTTTTGCTATGATATCAGGTCAAATGACTCTTAGACTAAAATAACGGCAAAAGAAAGCAGCTATGAGTACTAATTTGAAAACATGTAAGCCGTATTGGAGAATGTAGACTTTACGATGTTTGAGAACTGCTAAGGGTGTTGATCAGGGAAGCAACCTCATCAGATTAGCAGTTAAAAAAATCACATTTTGTGTAATGGATCTAGTGGATGGATGTGGCAAAATTGGGAATCACAGAGCACATTTGAGAAACTGTTGTTGCTCAGGCAGGAGATAACTGTGGCTGACCTGAAATAAGTAAGAGGGTATAATTGAATTAGAAAATTGGTGTAGTTTCCAGCATTTAATTTACTCTCATCACAGAGGTGGCCTAGGGTAACTGGCTTGAAAACACCAAGAAAGAATAAAATTTAGTATAGTCCCACATTTGTCCATGTAAAATAGGGAACAAAAATAAGAATGAGATGAATGAGGCTATTTAATTTTTTAACTAACTTTTCAACTTAAGGTCCCAAATATTTATCATTTTCTACAACTTTGCCCTCTAGGAGATGATGGAAATCTATTGACTTAGACTTTATATCATGTGTTATGTTAAAAAATATTTTGGCTTCTAGAACTTCATTCTGCAGTCATCTTACCTAGAACTACCACCACCATTGATTCTCATCCACATGGGCCATGTGATTTGCTTCCACACATTTTCATAATGTTTTACACATAGTAGATAGCTCAAATGTTGATTTAATAAAATCTTCAGTGAAAACTATATAGATACAGAGGCAGAGAAGCATTGAACAGACTGTCAAATTACAGTGGGAAGGCTGGGGAGTGTTGAGCGGGGGAGGTAAGAGATCAACTGAAGGACTTGTATGCATGCTTATAAGCATAACCAATGGACACAAGACACTGGGGGGGGTGGGGATGAGGGCATGTGCCAGGGGGTAGGGGAGGCCGGAGTAAGGTCAATGGGGGGAAAAAAAGAGAGACATATGTACTACTATCTGTAATACTTTAAACAATAAAATAAAATTAAAAACAAACAAACAAACAAAAAACTGTATGAGTAATCTATGAAAACTCTATGAGCCTATTGCTTTAGAGAGAGCTCAAAAGCAAGAGAGAGTTGGGACATTTGGCATTTGAAAGGAAATAACTTATTCATGCATGTATGGTTTACATTGTCTGGTTTCTCTGTAGCTACTTATTTCATTTAATTAACAAACAAGAATCATTTCTATGACAACACTGCATATGCTCAGTTTGGTGTGGGGGAAGGGACCCAGGGGCAGCAGTGCAGGCTCTGGGAAATCTAGCGTTCATTCTTCCACAGATTTTCATCCAGAAGTCCCAGGGATTGACCTTTTACCAGAAAGACACAGGTCATGTTTGCAGGCACATGAAATCAGAGGCCACTGGAAAGATATCAGTAAAACATTCCCCTGGCCACCATTTTAAGAATGGCATTTCTAACGAAAGCAACTTGGAGAAGATGTAATCTCTCGCTGTGGTTAAACTCTGCCCTTGGAAAACTTCAACACGAGCTCCGAACATGTGTTTGAGACATGCCTTGGTCCTCGCCAGAACGCATGCTAATGAGCAAAGGCCTTTATGAGCAAAAACATAATGCCTTTTAGAGGGTTTGTTTTTTTTAATTAAAAATCTTTTTAAAACTAGGTTGCCTCACTTCCAGAATGGCTTTTTGTTTTGCAGAAACTGTGCTCTAACCAGCTTTTTTCCTACGTGCAGTTTTTACAGACAGCCTCAAAGACCATTCACTCACATGCTCCTGATTGTGTTTCGGACGCTGCCTTGTGTCTAGAATTTACTTACTAAGCTCCTGTAAGGTAGCGCAGGGGCCTGCGCCCAAAGCTCCAAGGGCTTGAGGGTAAATCTTGAGTATTTACATTTCACTTTGGTATTTTAGATTCCATATAGAAAGAATGCACTAATAAGATAGCAAACACTGCTATTCCCTATTGACCACTGTATTCGCACTCAATTAAGGTAGTGACTGACAAATGAACAAATATGGAATGCCATAGTAGTAAGCTCTAAGGATTAATGGAAATATCAAAGCCTCAGGAATATTTCCCTGAATCAGAACATTTTGACCCTCTCATTAAGGCAACATTGTTTTCTCTCTAGGTTAACATAAAATGTAAAACCGTGGACAGTGTTTAAGCTGCTAACAAAAGAGGCTCATGTCCACTGAAATCTTCCTTCCCTTCCCCCCCCCCCCCCCCCCCCCCCCCCCCCCCTCCCTCCCTCCCTCCCTCCCTCCCTCTCTCTCTCTCTCTCTCTCTCTCTCTCTCTCTCTCTCTCTCTCTCTCTCTCTCTCTCTCTCTCTCTCTCTCTCTCTCTCTCTTGTTTCTTTCCTAGATATTCATGATCCTATCTTCCCAGAAAGCCATTTCCTACATTCCCAGCACTGCCTAGAAAAACATGGGGAGTTATTTGAAATGATAGAAGATAACAAACTGTTACTTAAATAGCACTTTCTTTAAATGAAAGGCTGTTTGTAATCTTAATCCTTACTAAAATGAAAATTTTGTTGCTATAAATAAAACTCAGGCTTGCCAAAGCATCCAGCAAATAAATCTTCCTCTACCTATTTGTCATTTAAATTTATGCTTCCCATACCAGAGGATGAAGATAATAATAGTTAATATTTACCTGATGTTACCCTAAATAATCACTCAATTAACCTAATCCACAAACCAATCTTATGTGGATTATTATCCCGTTTTATGAGTCAGAACACTGATGTGCAGAGAAGTGAAATAACTTGCTACTTACATAACAAGCAGATATGGGATTTAAATCCATGTGGTCTGACAACTAAGCCCAAGCAGTTAATCACTTCTTTATACTGTAGAGGATCTGTTTATTGATAATATTAATTTTTTCAGAACACAGGTTGCAACTACATGGTGGCAGACATCTGAGTATAAATTGGAGGACTGCATACATCCTCAATGATGGGGTTCATAAAATATTATAGTTCATATATTT